TTTCGTAAGTGTCTGTTGAATAGTGATCAAATAGCATAGAAAAATAGAGCGAAAGACGCTCTATCTGTTCATAAAAAAAGAAAATTTTTGAAAGCTTTCTATAAGAAAAAAAAGTACCTGGCTCACTACTTTTGGATAACCCTAAGTATCATTTCTATTCTATTGAATTAACTCCTATGTCACTGACTTCGTTCATATAGACACTTCAGATATTGGATCTATCTCAGAATAGTATTGGAATTGAAGGTGCATGTCAACTAGCTAATGTTCTTCAAGTCAGAACAGTTATATTATTATTGTCTTTCATTAATTTTATACATGAAGTTTTCGATGTATGTCTTTAGGCACTCGCCATATTAGATATTGCGGAAAATAAAATACTTAGTGATGGAGCCCAACATATAGCGAATTCTTTACAAATTAACAAGGCATTATTTCTGACTCTTGAACTATTTCTCTTTTATGTTCATCATTTTGTATAGACACTTACTCAACTGGATCTTTCAAAAAATGATATCGGTCATGATGGAACATTACAACTTGCATTAGCACTTAGCAATAATAAGGTAATACTTATTCTTTTCTCATTTCATGCATGCTCTTCTTCAATTTTTATAGACTCTGACAAGATTAGCAATTTACGGTAATAGAATAAGAGACCAAGGAGCCGGTTATATTGCAGATGCTCTGTGCAAGAATGCAGTAACTTCACGAATGTTACACTTATTTTGTAACTATTTGTTTGTATCTGCAAAGACACTCGTTGAATTAAATATTGGAGCCAATGCAATCGGAGATAAAGGAACACGTCAACTAGCAGATGCATTTAAAATTAATACGGTATCATTCGAGAATTTTTGCTGTTATAATATCTTGATCTTCTATTCAAACAGACACTTACGAAAGTAGATCTTTCCTCAAACTGTATCAAAGAACAAGGTGCCAAGTATCTCGAAGATGTGCTCTATCATAATAAAGTGATATTCATTCCAGTTAAACCACCATTAGTCTTACTCTATTTTGTGGAAATAGACACTCATTAGTATGAATCTTGATAACAACAATAGTGGATGTTGTGCTGCTGTTGCAGGAGCCTTAGAAATAAGAAATAACCAAGTAGGTCTATTGAAATGATTTTCTCTATGTAATACCTATTCTATTTCGTGGAGAAAAGATGCTTACATCACTGTATCTTTCTTCGAAACATATTGGTGATGACGGTGTTCGTTGTTTGGTTGATGCATTTAGTACTAACACGGTGAAGACACAAATATTCATTTTTCATAATTGATCTATATTTTTCTACTAAAATAGACTCTTCAAAAGCTAATTATTTCTTACAATGAAATTGGAGACAATGGTGCAAAGTATCTTAGTTATTGGTTACAAAACAATACAGTAATATCCTTAATTCTCTCTTTTTGCTTTTATACATATTAACCTCCACTGGTATAGACACTCAAAACACTTGATCTTTCATCGAATTGAATCGGAAACAGTGGTGGTCAGCATCTTTGGAATTGCTTACGACATAATACAGTGATTCGCGAGTTTTTTTAATGTGTCTAATATTTCTTTTGGATGATTCATTTAGACACTCACTTCACTGAAGCTAGCCTTCAATTTAACTAGCTTTTGCACAGCTATTGAAGCTACTATCCAAATACGATATGATAAAGTGCTTCTGTCGTTTTCTCTCATCACTTCCGTAAATGCTAACTCTAATAAATATAGACACTCAAAGAATTGGACCTTAGTAACAGAGAAATCGATGACAACGGAGCTCTATGTATTGCTGATAGTTTGAAGATGAACACAGTGATATGAATTTTTGTTTCATATCCATTATTGCTATGCATGTTCTCTATATATACAGACACTTGTTACGTTGATACTTAAAGGCAATAAAATAGGAAGTAAAGGTTTCCAACCTATAGTTGATGCTGTAAAAAACAATAAAGTAATAATAATTTTTTCTCAATATTTCGACTATCGATCTTCTTATGCTAAAGATTCTTACTAAGCTGTGTCTTGACTATAATCATGGTAGTTTTTGTGATGACACTCGATGGAACAATTCAAATAAGAAATGAAAAAGTAGAATAGTCATCACTTTATGCTGATGATCAGTAATTTTGATTGTTATAAATATAGACTCACGACACTTCATATGGTTAGTCGCAACATTGAGGATGATGGTGTTCAATATCTTGCGGATTCATTGAAGCTAAATAAAGTGACATACAATTTTATTTGATTTTTCGTTATATTCATACTGATCTGATGGGTGTGGGGTGTGGGAATGTGTTATCAAGGATCCAAATGGTTGTAGCAATTGAATGCTCCTATACATTTCTGTATAAGAAATAATACCATTTAGAGCAAATAGGAGAAATGTAGACAAGGCTGATGAGGTATCTTTGAAGACGATAAGAACAATGTGAACATGAAAAAGGCCATCGACAATAAACGTTATTAAAACTGTAATCATTCATGAAAATATGGGTGTGGGTGGGGTGTGGGTGTGGGTGTATGGGTGTGTGGGGTGTGGGTGTATGGGTATGTGGGGTGTGGGTGTCGGGGTGGAGTGTAGGTGTGAGTGTGGATGTGAGTGTGGTGTCTAAAGGAAGAGATGTACTCACACATCCACACCCATACCCACACCCACACACCCACACCCACCCCACACCCACACCCACACCCCACACCCACACCACACACCCTTATGTTAGAATAAAAATCTGTTTTTTTTCGACAAAAGATCATTTGAAAAAGATAGAATTTATAATTGTGAAAACCGTTCTGGCAAGAGTTTGAAGGTCAATCTGTGGTAAACTCAACCATAACTATAACTCGACAACTAGTATGATACCCTTGAATCCTATTTCGAAATTGAATTACTTTTGGTTTCCAATAAAAAATCATCTTGCAATAAATTTTGAAAGTAGCCTTCCCTTACAAAAGCAATATTTGAATGAATTTTATTTCAATTTGTAATCATCTAATACAATCCGCTGTACTACTTGTTTTGTATAAGTGAGGTTTACCACCAAAGACGCAACACTCTCCTGTTTTGTTAGCGAGAACATCTTTGCAAAGGTAATATGATAAGCTTTTTATCTATGTTGTAATAATGATAGGGATCTCTGAATAATAATTTCTATTCATTTTTTGCTGTTTCTTCTCATGCAGACATATAGTTTAATATTTCGAACGACTGTTGTCATATGTCTTTTCGTTCTAAATTTTGCCTCATTAACGAATAAGTAAAATTTATATGTTGTAATATTCTTTTTCGTAATATGCTTGTTTTTATCTAGTTATGATTTTTTCGATGAACAGTTAGAAATTCTTTTCAAGTATGAAATCAATTGTTATGATTATGTGAAGCATGTCTTTATAAACTTTTATATGATTTTCTAAAGAAATTGGCTTCAAGACAATGACGACCATCAATACGATTCATTTGATGAGTATCAACGAAGAATGAGCATTTTCAAAGAGAATTATTTTAAAATTCAACAATTCAATAAAAACTATGGGTTGTACGCTCATATATATAATTTTGTTCCTTTTTTCTATTTCATCTTTCGTGAATTTAAAGACATGGTGCGGTGTTTGACTTGAATAAATTTGCTGATCAAACGGAAGATGAATTTCGAAACAAGATTTTAATGCAGTCTCAAACACCACCTATACATTCAGCATTGAGGTTTTTTACGTACTTTTTATAGCTTTTGACATATTTTTGTCAGGTAATAGGTATATGAAGTTTCCAACTGTTGCAAATGTACCTAATTCATTCGATTGGCGAGATTATGGTGCAGTTACACCTGTAAAAGATCAAGGTAATAACAATAACGAAAAAGAAGCATTGATTTAATCATAATTTCAATTTATAGGAGCAGTAGGTACATGTTGGGCTTTTTCAACTGTTCAAAATGTCGAAGGTCAATGGTTTATGAAAAGTAAAGCATTGGCAGAGTTATCTATTGAACAAATAGTCGATTGTGATGATATGCAAAACCCTGATTTGTTCGTATTTATGTAGAGATTAATTAAAGATTATGTGAAAAATAATTTTCAGAGGACAAGCTGACTGTGGTGTTCATGGTGGTTGGCCATATCTTAGTTTTCAATATATGATGCGTCAAGTACATATGGACTTTATCTTTTCTAAGAATTTTAAGTTTCAAAAAAAAATAATATAATAGGGCGGTATTGAATCCGAATCAACCTATCCTTATTGTGCTGGATTGAAAAATTCATGTAAACCGTGTAATGCCCCTGGTTATAATAAAACCATATGTGGTCCTCCAGTACCATATTGTTTAATCAAAGATAGTTGTGAAAGTAAACTTGATACAAAAAAATTTATATCTGATCTTAAAGTAGTCGGTTGGAAAGCAATTAATGATGTAAAGTATAGCTATCAGATTCACGATACGAACTACGCTTTTCTTTTAAAAGGATTAAACAAATATTGCAGGTGCTTCAATGATGACTGGTCCATTATCTGCTGCACTGAATGCTGAACAATTACAATTCTATCATGAAGGAATTTTCAATCCACCTGTTTGTAACCCAAAAACTCTTAATCATGCTGTACTTCTTGTCGGTTGGGGGCAAGAAGGATCTACACCTTATTGGATTGTGAAAAACAGTTGGGATGTTAATTGGGGTGAACATGGCTATTTTCGTATTCTACGCGGTAATGGTACTTGTGGTATTAATACTCAAGTAACAACTGCTATACTCCATTAATATAACTGTGACTTGTGAGAATACATCTACTGCTTCTAATCATCATATTTACGAAATTCTTTTTGTATTTCTTGAGATTTATGAATGAGAACGAGACATTTTATGAACTAAAACTGATGCCTTAACAGATGAAATATTCAAAAACAAAGCTTGGGCCTAGGAATTGATTTTTCTTAGTATCTTTATGGAGCTTTTCTAATCTTGAGAGAACCCAATTAAAGTCACAATATGAACTTATGTGAAATTTTTAGAAGAGGAGTGACAAGACATTGATGTCACCAACGATTTGTGATTACTACCAACCACATTGTAAATCAAGATACTTATATAAGCCCGTATTGAAATGGATATTTTCTTTTTTTCATACTATAAAACTCTTCTCTTCCTATAAGAGTCTCTATTTTAGAATGCTTTGGAAGATCTTACTGAACAGAATGTGTGCGAGACTTACGACAGAACATATTCCAGTGATTTCCCTATGTTAAGATATTCAAAAAAATTTGAGAATCAAACTTTTTCATGCCATGTTCATTTTCATAGCTGTAGCATTTTTCAATTGTATAAGATTTACATAAAAGAACAATCTTTCTTGAGAGTATCTATTGAAAATAAACGAGATTCAGCATACGAGAAACATTTATTAGTCACACATAAAAGTATCACATTTATGCTTTCTGATTACGTATACAAAACAAGTAACGGGCCGCTCAACTCAATACTGAAAGTTTGTACAGATGGTTTACAGTATTTCGTATTGATTTTGCGAATTATTAACTATATTTATTCTTAAAAATGGAACTTGAATTAAGTTAAAAAGTAGCGATTATAGCAAAGTTGTCAAATTGATGCTATGGAAATGACATTGCTTCTGATAATATAGATTCTGTAACTCTCTTTCATGTTCAAAACGTATCTATCTATTTTAGTATCGAAAACTAACCTTGAAGACCACTTTAACTAATTTTTTGCATGTTAATTCATCAGCTTAGAAAATTTTCATATATAAACACTGAACTGCTCGTTTACATGCAAGGAAGTCAAAAAAAATTATTTGAAATTTAGAATATCTTCTGCTTGCTGTAAAAGACACTTGCAGAAGCTGAATACCCATCCAAAGTGGAAGTATGATGAAGTTATTGCGTCCTGAATTCTTGCCTTGATAAAAAGAAAATATGTAAAAGAACTAGGTCATTTGATTTAAAGGATAAACAAAATAATTTTTTAATTGAAATTTACTTCAAAAACCGACATCAGTTGATGTATGTTGACTTAGGATGAATCTGCTCATGGCAAATCCACATTTCATCAGCTGCCATAATATCATATAGAAATATCTCAAAATTTGTGCGATGAAGTCTAATTTGTTAGATCAAACAGAGGCTCACCATCGATATCATCTCTTCCTTCATAGAAATGCTTTATTCGTTGTGGAACTGTTGGATATGATCGAGAAGTGGGTCTGAAAGCTGTTGCAATTTCTTTGTGAATTATTTTTAGATCTATTCCTAGAAGAGTTCGAGCTTTCATATATCTCTCGAATTTTATTATTCATTTTTCACATATCTTTCTGGTTCAAACTGATTTTTATACTATAAAATATTGATTATGCATTTATGCATAAGACATTTCACTGTCTATCCATTTAAAAAGCTTTTCAACATGAATTACTTCGTAAAAATACTAATAGCATTCAAAAACGTTTTAGCTAGATCTAAGTATTTTTGCTCAAATCACTTTGACATTCATTCATACTTTGTTCAAAAACTAATATCTACAAAGGATTTCAAAAGTAATCAAAAAAGTTTCTTGACTTATTGATTTCGCTTTCAAAAAATATACCGTGAAATTTACATTCAGCATGAATTTGAGGCTCTGAAATCTGGTATTTTTTCATTGACTATGATATTTCTTAGTATAAATGTCATATGATGAATATCACTTCATGAACTATCTTGAGGGTGTGAGTGGAGTCTAAAAATCTAAATTCCACATACACATTCATGACTAATACCTATTCATTTCTCACCCATTGAGATTTGGCGATATTGATAAATGAAATTATTTAAAATTCTCTTAAACTACAATTCTGCAAGCTAAAACATTACTTCATCCTGGCCCTACTCTATCTAAAACATATTATTAGTAGTTCTCGATGTATAAAGGTATATCGAAAGTGTTTCAATTGAATTTTTTATTATTCAAAGTTCATTTATATCATCATCGGATATAAAATCGTAACCATACACTGAGAAAATACAAGAAAGTACGTGTTCGTCTATGATTTGTGCTTTCGTCAGTTTTATCCATATTGACATCTATTGCTCGATCAGGACTTTCGAATTTCTAAAAACTACTATTGATAAAAACAAAAAGAACAAAACAGACTGCGTTTACCAATGATCCTTACAAAGATGTTTTCCGTTAATTATACGCTCACAACAAAATTACAAGATTTACAAGATACAATGCAAAGAAATCAACTATCATTCATTTTATCGATCTTTACAATGCTAAATTTCTCATCGAACCATTCTTTCAATCAAACATTTTCTTCTACTGCTATGCACTTGTTTTCATAGTTTCCAAGGAACTCTAATAGTAATGACTATAGTTTCCTTTCATTTTCACTATCATTCTCTTTCTTGCTTGGATACTTTTCTTTCCTTATGTTTACTAACTATGAGGGCGTATTCATTGGTAAAATAAACTAGAAATGAGAGCAGTGTCCCTATTTCTTTGTTGAGTGTCACAAAATAACTCTCGGTGGAAATATATACAAACGTAGAAGATCTTTTCGTTTAGTGAAAACAAAAAGCAATAATGATAATTCACAAGCATCATATAGCGTATTTTATCGAGGTTCTAAGCAAATATTCAGTACAAAACCAAACCTTGGATGATTTTGTGTAGTACATGGAAAGTTACAGCACCACAATCAACAAAAGTTTTGGCTTTCTAAGCTTTGAACAAAGTTGTACGGAATATATTGATCTGAACATTAATGTAGATATTCTTTTTGATCGAAGACGTCATTTTATCGAAGTTAACAAAGACTTTATCTAAATGATTTTAAAGAATGCCATTATTCGTCCCACTTCGTCTAAAAAGATCTTCAGCAATGATGATAGAAAAATTTTCTCTTTAATGATATACACTTTCAAATGGTTTTTTTAACCTAGCAAAAAAAGATTCTCGATTTATGTTCTACAGCGTTGATACATTGAACAATATCGTTTTCTAACTAGCTGATATTCTCATCAAAAACATTCTAGAGTTTTATGCACGCTACTGTCAGAATAATTTTTCTTCCACCTGTGTGCATTTCACTGAATTCAATAGTTATATGCACATTCCTTAATGCAAAGGGACAAAATCTCTATTCTAAATCTTTCATCCTTTTTGGTAAATGTATCTCAGGAATCGCAAGTCACTTAGATTTTTTCACTGCATTTCAAACATGGAAAAATATTATATTAAGAATAAAGAAAGTATAAATGTATTTTATCAAATTCATCAACAAGAGAAGTTGTCACATTTTCTTCTCATATCTTTTCTTCTGAAGCAGTCGATTTCAGATGTCCATAAACGAAAACGAGACTACAACGTCATCAGCCGTGTTTACCGATCTTCCTATTCCTCCATGGATACGATTTTCTTTCATGCGTCCAATTAATCTTATATCAATTTTTTGCACATTTTTACAGCTTTATTATATGTTGAAGAAACCTGTTTTGCGTAAAGCACTAAATAATCATTCATTTATCGTTCTTCTTATTACTGGATTAGCTACTCAAGCTATTGATGTTCCATTGTATTTGAATTATCTTCGTTTGGGATATGTTTGGCTTCAGACACCAGCACTCTGTTTCATTTGGTGGTATACCGATGTAAGTACTTTTGAAGCAACAATTATGCTTATGATGTGGGCATCATTTGAACGATATGTTTTGATTTTTCACGAAAAGTATTTCTCTACCCGAACAAAACGTGCCCTCTTTCATTATCTACCACTAATAATTTTCACAATTTATCCACTATTATTCGGCTTATTGGTTCTCGTTCTTGTCACATGTAACGATCAATTTTCATTCGATTATTCAAATGCCTGGTGTAACTATTCGCCTTGTTATTATTATAATACATTTCTTAGTCTATGGGATACAATATTTCACTGGATTATATGTAATATTCTGATTTTGATTTGTAATGTTGCAATTATTTTACGTATCATTTGGCATAGGAGTGTTCGCTTGAGACAACCGATACAGTGGCATAAGCATCGAAAAATGTTAATACAATTATTATCAGTCTCCGTCATTTTTATCATTTTTAATATTCCTACTACTATTTACGAGTTGTTATTGTCCTTAGAAGTTATTCCAGAAGATGTAGATCCTCAAATATATTCTTGTCTGTTTTTTATTAGCTACTTCTCAGTTTTACTCATGCCAATTTGTATGCTTTTTTCGTTGCCAAAAGAACATTGGTGGGATAAATGGATAAATCTATGGATTAATAGACAACGACGGCAAATAACCACCACATGAACTTTGGGATCTCTGAAGATTGACAAAGGAGCTACTAACGATACTTAGGACGTCATTACTATACAAATAAACTGTATAAGTGCTTATGAAGACTCGTATATAACAAAGAAAACACTGTATCAGTGCAATTCAAATATTGATATTATTTCTTTTCAATTAAAATTTGATTTATTCATTAGTAAATATTGTAATGTTACGAGTCTTCATAAGCACTTATACAGTTTATTTGTATAGTAATGACGTCCTAAGTATCTTTAGTAGCGCATTT